CTGTAATTTGGAAGATTCAGTTATGAATGATTCTCCTAATTCAACGTTCCTCTCTCAAATCACTAACCAACTATTTTAGCATTTTATTTATCATTTAGGGAAAATAGTAAAAGATGTAAATCTCTCACTTTCTATCCCTGTATATATATATATATATATATGTGCTTTCGAAAATTTGTCGCTGTTTCAACTTGGAATTTCTCAATTTAGCAATAATCAATAAGGGGTGTGCGATAGACTTACCTCCACGCGGTGCACCCCGGGCAACGTATACCCATGCGGCAAAAAAGTCTATTAACCGGCATTTGACTTCTGACTTCAAAATACCATGGCCCAACTGCTTGTCATATTCGACCCCTTCCACAATTCTCATCTTACCTTTTTCCCTACCTTAATGTCTGTCTGCCTCTTTTGCACCTGTGAATCGCTCTTCTGTTCCCCGCCCCTCGACCTGCTACTTTGATGAACCTTCCCTCTGTGAAGCCCGAAGTCAGCTAAATGACTAATGATATCTATCAAAACGCTTGCCATTTGAAATAAATAAATATTGTCGTTTTTTTTAAATTCCTTTGTCAACTGAGTATAGGGAAGTTGTAGAACTCATTTTAAATTATTTCATTCAAAGTAACTACTAATTACATTTTTATATTTTAATTAATGCATTAAAGTTTTGAAATACAGATGATATTTTAATTAATTTTTTATTTTGTCAAAAATACACAATTTTTATATGCTATAAGGTTGAGAAAATTAAAGACGTGCAATTGTTTCGGAAATCAAACCTGGATATTGTCTAACACCTCTTTATTGAATTGATCAATAAATGCCATTTTCAAATGAAATTTTTAAGTCAACTAAATTTCGAGCACTGTTTATGCGAAACAATTCAGTTACCTGGAAAGTTTACATTCACTATATGTTTCACCATACAACATGTCACCAAGTTGGATATAATTCAATTATATAATGCTTTGAGGACTATCGGTTTCGAAAAGCAAATAAAAATAATTCAGTTTATTTGACCAAAAATAAAGTTTTTTGCATGTAATCATGAGTTAGCCGACGGAAATAAATGTATGAGAAGTATAAAATTGAAATGGTAATATGTTGCTTCTAAAGTTGCAGGGGATACATTGCTCCACCTATTAAAAAAGTTCATTGAATTACACTTTTGGAAGGCAAAATTTTTTTCTCATTTCTTTAGGCTTTCTTAATTATATATTCATAAATTTATTGTGTCGTAAAGAGAATTCAATCTTTATAATTGCAGAAGGGTTGACTATTATAAGTCTTTAGAGGTTATTTAAGAGTAATTATTTAAAGAAAAACGTTTCACTATGACTTCAGTCATTGTAATGTGCTTTTTCCGTTCCATATTTCCTTTGTTAAATTTTAAGGCTCATTTGCTCATAGAAAAGACATTTAAACCTACGTCTTGATGAAGTTCAGCTAAGCATCTTTAATCTCACTTCATTTTGATTGGATGTTGAAGAAGTGAATATTCCATTGGCTCAATTCCAGTGGCCAATGGTAGGATGGACATCTGTAAGTGTGAGTATAAATCTCGCATATTATTCGAACACAATGGTTTCGTTTTCACAAAAAAGTGAGTTTGAGTTTTAGCAAATATTATTTTAACCGAAACGAAATTGTGCTTTTTAAAACGATATTGAAATGGAATTCATTTTTAAATCGTTTATATGATACTATTTAAAATTATTACCAACATCATTTTCAGCTCCTTCCCATTGCACTTGAGGCTTTTCGATCCTCTTTCATGTTCAGATAAAAATCGGAATTCCGTTTTGCTTAGATATCCGATTTTGTCACAGGTTGTTAAACGGACTTGCACAATTTCACCCACAACTTAGTAAACCAAAATTTTGGGCATTTATTAAGTGAAGACAATTCTTTTAGATGATAGTACATTATAAGTGGTGAGGTTACATTTGACACTCATCTAATCTGGACATTAAGGAGGAGTAGACGTTTAAAAGGCGACAAAATGTTGTTCGATTATGCATCAAGTCACCGTTGTTTTCTGCCTCTAGGTAAAAGGGTCATGCTTCGTTATTCAGTCTCTCATGTTCTAAAGTTGATGGATGGCCAGAACAATTTGATCTCCGAGAATGAAGAAACAAAAGCTGAGCGTCTAGAACATTTCCGAAGAAATGATACCTCAAAGAGTTTGGTCTTCGTTAGCCCCTATGACAGTCGTCCGAACTCTCCTTCTCACCAAGGATCTGAACTCAAGAAGGAGGACAATCTTTCTTCTGAAATGGTAATTAAAACGAAAGATGCATCTGCTTCTGAGGTTATGGACAAACAGCGAGATTTAGACGCAACTATAGGTGAAAAAGGACGTCTTAATAGACTAATAGATGCCTATTCAATCATTCTGACTTCTGTTGGAGAAGATGTTAATAGAGAAGGATTGCTCAAAACTCCCGAAAGAGCTGCCAAAGCCATGCTCTACTTTACGAAGGGTTATAAAGAATGCCTTGATGAAGTCCTCAACCACGCTATCTTTAATGAAAACCATGAAGAGATGGTTATTGTGAAGGATATTGAAATGTACTCAATGTGCGAACACCATATGGTGCCATTCATGGGAAAAGTTACTGTTGGTTACTTACCAAATGGCAAGGTGATTGGTTTAAGCAAGATTGCTAGGATTGTTGAGCTGTATTCACGACGTCTTCAAGTTCAAGAGAGACTAACTAGACAGATCGCTGAAGCGTTGGACGCTGCTCTTGATCCAAAGGGAGTTGGAGTGGTTATTGAAGCTGCTCATATGTGCATGGTTACGAGAGGAGTTCAAAAGGTCAATGCTTCTACGGTTACCATGGCAATGCTAGGAGAACTGGAAAAAAATCCGAAGATGCACAGAGATTTCATGACATTGATTGGAAAGCATTAATTATGATCTTGAATTAATACAATTATTTTGTGCTAAAAGTCTTATTTCAATATTAATTTTGCGAAAACTATGAAATTGAACTGCTTATTTAAAGTCGAATGTTTAGTTGATTATTTAAAAGATAAATAAGTTTAATATAATGTGAATGAAAGAATACTAAGTGAAAATTTAATATTCTGCCTGTTGGCGTTTTGTTACAAACTCATGAAATGGCAACTGAGAAAATAAATCAGATCCATTATGCTTAAATATGTGAATTAAATTTAAATAATTCACTCGAAATCTGGAGAAAGTAAGCACCACACAAGCTCCTTATTAATGACGATTTGTCTCCTAAGAAAAATTGAATTCATCACTAACTTTTGTTGCTATTCCATTCTCATCCAACTTTTCTATTATGGAGAAGACGTGAAATTGAAAAGGAATCCTATATTAAAGCTTGTAGCGGATTAGCTACCCCAATAACCTTGACTATTCTCAGAAAGCTCTATAACAGTTTCTTCCAACTCGAAAGACCCCGGGAATTAGCCAAGCTAAGACAAAGTTATAAAGGGAAAAGACGTGTAGCATAGAGCACGTTTATTCAGTACGAGTATTGAGGATGTAGTGTACACAGAATCAGGATGGCGGATTAGGTTAAACAAACAGAGGTTAATGATTGGTCATCGGTCGCACCTCCCAATCCTGGCGTGCAGGCATGCGATGATGTGTCCCACAAGCTCACCTAAGTCAACCCAGCCAGGAACAATCTTCAATTTCAGCAACAGAGCCAGACAAGTCTCTTAAAAGTGTCCTCTGTAAAAATGTCGGTATATATAAATAAGAACGGGAAGAGGTAAAAATGTCGAACCCCCCTGGATAAGGTCTTACTTTTCTTCCACAACCCCCCTCCTAACAGCCATAGCCACACATCCCCTGTACAAACCGTATAATACACAATATTAATACCATTAAAGAAAATACTTATTTTTACCAAAACATAAACACTTTGTACAAGAGAATTTTTCACTTGCTGCCAATTACAATTTCGCTCCAGAAATTGGTTGCTGAAAAATTTACATCTAGTCTGAATTTACAAGTTGTATATTGATTTTATCAGGTCCAGTCTTAATATTATTCTAATCAAATACAGAGTGTCTTTTATTAAATCAATAACTTGAATGGAAAGACTGGTACTCCATTTCATCTACATTTCTCTCAGTACTAATTATGTATTGTTTAATGGACCGTTGATTTTCGGAATCCAATTTGATAAGGAAGGACTAGTGCCGAAGTACCTTATCAGGAATTCATTTATTTCAAATGGCTGGTAATTTGATAGTTATCATTAGCCCTTAGCTGACTTCGAACTTCACAGAGGGGAGAAACATCAAAGTGAGAAAAAGTCAGGAGGGGGACCGAAGAGTGATTTGTAGATGTAAAAGAGACAAACACAATGATAGAGAGCAGGGTAAGGTGAGTACTGTAGAAGTGGTCAACTATGACATACAGTGGGGTCATGATAGCTTGAACTCAGAAGTCAACTGCCGGTTGATAGACTTTTTTGCCGTATGAGTAAACATTGCCCAGGGTGCACCACGTGGAGGTAAGTCTATCGCACACCCATTAACAGGAATTTAAAATTCTTGGAGAGAAACAACTCTCCAATATCTATTTAATCGTTTACCTTCCAACACCAGTGTCGTGCTTTCATAATTAAATTTTTTCTAAATTGGCATAACTAAACAGTTGTTATATATTATTACTTGCAACGCGTCGGAACATGTTAGATCTAGTTTAAATGTTAGTCTTGTACCAAACTATCCTAATGTAATTCGTGGTTTGTTGTTTTGATTGATGTATCATAGATTCCAATCGTTAATTTGAATTTCATCATCATCTTCCTTTTGTAATATTTGGCAACCAATAATTCCAATAAGCCTTGAAAATGATCGTAAAATTAGGAAACATCAGTCTGTTTGCACGTCTGCTGTTCAAGGAATACGAAAACACAAATTTCATTCGCTGTTAAAGAAGAAGCAATTTGAAGTCACATTTGTTCCGAAATTATATCTAATAAAATAGGATACTTAAGAGATTGAATAATCATGGAGTAAGGAATAAGAACATATTTGAAAATAATTAAGTCCTCTTGAGATGAGCATAAGTTAAATTTGTATTGGGATAATCCATCACAAACTTTCCTTCCAATATGGATTTTCAATAGAAAAAGATTTGGACTATTCAATTGGTTTGATTATATTCGAATCCATGAATAAGCAACCAGTACGTGAAATAGTTAGATTTTCTTAAAAGAGTAACGACTAAATTTCAAAAAATATTGAAAGAATTTAAGAAAACTGATCTGAGAATTTAATAGGATCCATAATCTTTAATAAGCAATGAAAATGAGAAAACAATATTTCCAATTATTACTATTTTTTCTATGTAATTAATCGATAAGAATTGATTAAAATGGGCTCTTGATTATTTGAGTAATTCGCAAAACATTGAGCAATCACGGTTCAATTCAATACTTCATTAAAATCTACGGAAGATCAACACATTGTCACCAAATTACAGAGTAGTTAAAGATCAGGGGCGAGCAGATCGAAGTAGAACAGTTTTCTAGGCTATAATGATGGTTGTGAATAATTATTTCATAAAAAAGAAACCCTTCCTGGAGAAAAGTGAAACTTATAGAGGAAATCGTGAGTGATTTATTCTAATTGAATTATAGAAAGTCAAGGAATTAGTTGTAGTTATATTGGTAACGATCTGATTATCACAAAAATACTCCTGACAACGATTAATTGCTTTCCCTTTGGGATTTACCAGCGATTATATTTATGTTACACGGAGGTGTACGATAGATTAACCTCCACGTGGTGCATCCTGGGCAACGTATACTCATACGACAAAAAAGTCAATTAACCGGCAGTTGACTTCTGACTTCAAATTATCATGACCCCACTGTATATCATATTCGACTACTTCTACAGTACTCACTTCGCCTTTTTTCAACCTTTGTATCTGCCTCTTTTACATTGCTGAAACACTTCTGTACTCCTCCCCCCAAATTTCGACTACTTTTTCCCTTTGAAGTTGCTTCCACTCTATGAATGCTGAAGTCAACTAAAGGGCTAATGATAGCTACCAAAATGCCTGCCATTTGATACAAATATTTACGTTACACTGATGTGACTTTTACCACTTGTAGCATATGTTGTAACAAAACGTATTAAAAATAGTAATGAACAGGTATTTTTCATTTCTATCTTATTCAAGAACCTTTCACATAGACAAGGCTAATAAATCCAAAAGATAATTTAATGCGAATTTCTTAAGGTCTTGACAAAATGAGATATCAATATTAATGAAAACAGCGACATAGAAAGGGATATAAAGCAAAATATAACGTAGACCTCAAAGAACATCATTCTACAATACTAATGTTAAGTACTTCCCGACTTGAGAATTTGAGACATTCAGTATTAGAAATTTAATAGGATGTTTATGAAAATGAAATGACAATATTGATTGAATACATAGTTAAACCGGATTAAAATAAAAGGGAAGAAAATAATGCAAAGGGGTTCTCTTTAAGCTAGAAATTAAAGGTAAGATAGTTAACTAAACATTTTTACGTTGAAACGATATAACTAGCAATTCAATCAAGATCCGGAAGTTTACATATAGATTTCTGTACATATGGGTTATTACGTAAAAATAAACAATTTTTGCATAATAAAATAAAAAAAGAAGATTTAAAGTCAATATTTTAAAATAAAAATTGATCGTTTAAATAATACATTTTATTTTGGAAAAGGTTACTTAATACGATTATTTTATTACCTCTAATGAAAATATGTATGCTGACATTTGTTTATGTTATTTAAAAGTGTGCGCGTCAGTTGAAGTTTGAGGATTAAAAATATGGTTATGGATGAGGTCAACCTCAAGATTCTATATCCCGACGGATGTGCGGAAATCAATGGAAATTTACGCGCAGATGAATTAAGAAAACGTATTAATGTATGATTAACTTGGTAAAATTTTATTTTTCCAGGACATTAATGCTGCCCTGCGAGATATGATGCGTCAAGTCGGGATTAGGGATGAAACAGTTGTAGAAGAACCTGATAATCAACATTCCGTCTCTCAAACGCAAAATCCAATAGAATTAACTGGCCTCCTTTTGCATTTAATGTCTGATCAATTCACCCATCATCCAGATGCTGACATTCGTCTCCGTGTTTGTGCTGCCGTCTGTTACCTCCTTAAGCTATTCTGTCCCACAAATCCTTTTGAACTCCTCTCTGATTCACAAAGTCGTATGAAGGACGTTCTCTCCTTTTTAAATGAATGTCTTATACAACTTGCTAGGCTGCATAGTAAGCATGATGTAAATTATCCCCGACTTTTCGCAATTGTATATGTAAGTTTCTGGTATTTTGCTCTATATTGATCTTAAATTAGACGTGCTGTAAATTGGACGTATTCACTTGGTGCCGTTTTATCGACGAGGGTGAAAAATATCTTCTTGATTGTTTGAAAACTCTTCTAACCATCACAAAGTAACATCACCTTTTCTCAATTTACTCTGTTTTGTAGAAATCTTTCAGTATGGGCCTGGTCGGACGAAGAGACTGTGCAACAGTTTATCCTCAACTCGCTTGTCACTTTAATAAACCAATGTAAATCCCTCTTGAATAACGAAATTGTGGCTTATTTGCTTTCTTTCCTTATTGAGCCTGCTAAAAGCTCTCAACCAATTCAACATGCTTTAATCAAGGATTTAATCGTCAGATGTAATACCCAACTAGAATACCCTATTCAAATGGTAAGATGAAATTGAATGTCTCTGAGTTCTAGCTGATTCAAAACTCATTGGTTTTGAGTGATCAAAAGGCTGCCTCATCTTCGGACATGGATGAGTCTGAAAAAGATACTCCGCTACAAGATCCTCTTGGTGAACACTCTTTCATAATTATCTACGCTCTTCACACACTGCAAGAAAGTCTTATTGCCCCTATTCTTCCTTGTGTGGAGTTGAAGTTGAAATCGAACAATTCGAGAGAGAGAAAGAGAGCCTTTCGTCTTCTTACGCGAATTTTCTCTGAACCTAACTCCTCCATTCACCATAAGAATCCGGAGCTATTTGCTACTTTTCTCTCGAGATTCAATGATATAGATGCAGAAGTTAGGAGTTTTTGCATCCAGATGGTTCCCATGATGCTGAAACAGAATCCTGAACTTCCGCGGTCTAAATTAATTGATTGTCTCAAAGGGTGTACAATTGATAGAGTTGAATGTAAGTTTCGATCAGGTTTTATGCGATTCACCTTTTCAAATATTCGTTTGTTTTTTGGCGGTTCTTATTAGCCCTTTCATTAGAATTTTATTTAATTTTTAATTTTGTGGGTTCGCTTTTGTTGCGCATTTTATTGTAAATCACTCGTGCTTTTCTTTACTCATAAGGCCATTTATTTAAAGATCCTCTTTCTACTAATTCAATTATGCATTTGAAGGGAACTCTGCCTGACCTTTGATTTGCAACGTTTAGTTCCCATGACTTCATACTCCATGAAAATCTCTTGGATTCGTTGAATTGACTTGAATTGGAAAGAACAGTATTTTAAGTTAAAGGCCTTTTACAAAACGAAAATCTTGTTTTTTTTTTCAAATTAAGTACTACATAAAATAAAGAAACTTTTTTGTGAGCATTTAAAGTTGCTATACAATAATTCCTGCTGGTAGGTTGGGCTATCCTGTACATGGCCAATATGCCTTAAAACAATGTGTCAATTTCCATTTTGTTATATTTTATGTCTTATTGTGAATAGCCGCCTGTTTGATCATAGATCATTTTTTTATTGTATTTCACGATCAAATTATGTCTCTTTTGTTTATCTTCGCGCTCCCTTTGACTGATGCGGTGTCTTTTTTATGCTTTTATTCGTTCACAATCATTGCAATTTTTGCGGTCTATCAGTGTTTGTGGATGGTTGTACGCGCCTCCATCAGAAAGGTTGGCCGGTTCGTTGATTGAATGTTTTTGTGTGTGCTTTTCAATCTTATTGCCGCTTGCTCATGTGTACATGTTGACCTACCGGAGTATTATGTTTTTATAATCTGCCTGTTGGTTACTGAAACTCATAAATCAAACCAGCGGGGGGGGGGGGGTGGGGTGGGGTGGGATGTGACAAAATAACATGAAGTCTCTGATCGAGAAACACTAGGATCAATGAATTCCGGTTTTTTTTGCCAATGCCACATTCTGATCGTATTCTGTGCACACCTGCCATTGTAACTCGTTGCTAAGATGGGAACATGTTTAAACCTAGGGCTTTGTCTGTTTCAGCTGTTCGATTACTATCCCTCAAGATGGTCTCCTCTCTGCGGCACGAATCAAAAGATAAGACTGAAGTGGACTCACTCTTTGACATAATCTACAATCGGTATAGGGATCGGTCTCTTGCTGTTCGTAAAGAGGTGCTTGCGGAATTGGCTGCTGTCTACAAGGAGAATCTCCAATCGTCTGAACCCAACACAGAAAAGATGGTTCTAACTCTCAATGCCATTCTCCAAATGTACTATCAACCTTCTCTTGATGACAAGTGAGTTTGTTGACTAAACTCCCTCAAAGTTGAATAATCACCGTTGGTGTCGAATGTTTTCCGGCATTCATTTTATGGAGAGATTTAGGTGGAAACTTGCTTTCCTCTGTCTCCCTTTTGTTCAGCAATATTTACCATGTCTAATCCTTTTGATTGTTGATTGCAGATCACCAGCGTTTATACTCTGATTTTCCAGAGTACGTCAGTAGCTAAGCTAATTGCCAAGCCCATTAAAAAAAAACATTTTTAACTTTCAAGCAGGGGTATCCTGAAGTCTCATAGAAATATCATCTGCTTCTTCTTCTTCTCCCTAACCGTGACCATTTGATTCTGTAACTATTTAGAGTGTGTTGGTGGAGGGGGGGGGGGGGGGAGAGGGAATCGTCCTGTAATAAGCTTATCCCATATCTGTGGTACATCCTTCATCACAAAACGACGTGTTGCCAATTCGGAGGGGATGAATTGCGTCAATCAATATAAACCCATCCCGGGTACTCAGAATTAGGAATCAGGCTATTGCGTGTCGCTGTGCGAATATGTGGCGTCGTCGTTTAACCACCATTTTTATCTTTCCTCATGTTCTCTAGAATCATTGTGGAGCGACTATTCAAGAGCTCAATCGTGCCTTACAACTTTCCAACCAAGGAAAGAGTGAAGAGTCTCTTCACCTGTTATCAGATGGCTGATGATACATCCATTAAGGCCATTCAGGAGCTTCTAAAAGTGCAATTTATGTAAGTTCGATTCGTCTTTTTTGTCGATCATTACATAATCAGAAATAAATGTCATTTAATCATCCATTCTGCTCTAAGGGTGGCCACTTTTATGATGGTTATACTTTTATTGAATAAACCATTTAAGCATGTTTGTAAAACTTCGATTGAGTTTAAAATATAGGGGATACGTTAGGTGGTCGACATTGGTTAATGTGCTCAGGTATATTGGTTAGTGGATAAGGACTTGATCTAGTGGTTGTTCATTTGTAGTGGGTAGATTCAGAGGTATTCTATGATTTATGGTCTAAACAAACGCTATTGAAATCTTCCAGATAAGAGATGTAATGGAAAGGCATGGAAACCCATTGGAAGGAAGGATATTTATTTATATCAAATGGCAGGCGTCTTGATGGTTA